CATCATCTAATGTGTCATCCTTTCAACGTCGTGCAGATGCGGTATTCAACGGATTTGTGCATTATTGCAAGCATGGCACGTCGTTTGGGGATCCCCAGCGAGGGAGGCCGTACTTGGTTACCGCAGGGAGTTGATCATACCAGAAGAGGAACCTGTGAAGCGGACCGCATCCTGCAAAAATTTTTCCTCATCGGCAGGACGTACCCTCATCGCAAGGCAAGATTCACTGTAAACGTTCGGGGGCACTGCAAAAACGACTCACTCAGTATCCTGCTATCCAGGTTCCATGGAACCCCTCTTCCGGCCCCCATGGAGTTAGCTGTAGACAACTGGACATCGCGACTGTTCTGTCTACGTAGAAACAGCTCCGTGTTCTTATATACAGCCGTAGTGCCCTAGATGAAACGTAGCGCTCAGGATTAATTATTCTTAAAGTCCGCTATACGACCGAACTGTGTTCAGAGTGGTATTAACTTTTTGAAAACGATTCGGCCTGTGCAATACCGACGCCTGCCCGGACACAGTGGGTTTTTGTCCTCTCAACCAGGTCCGCTACCCATCAGCTATATTAACGAATTCTCAAAGGGCTTTCTGGCCCGCCCGAGATTTGAATTGTGCGTCATAACCATAGTCACGATGCTACCTGTGCCAGTTTCACCCTCATCTTCTCTTTCATCTACCTAACATGAGCTATATGAATCATTAAAAATCAATGCTTGAATTATAATAACCAATTTTTGAGGTATAAGGCACAAGTATCGGTGGGAGCCCAAAAGGTTCTAAACACTACGGCGCTGTTCGGCGACGGAGGGGCATTTTGCACTTCACTGCTTTACTAGTTCCAGTTCACAAGTTCCGCTCTGGTGAAACCTGTGAACTCTTGTGAAGCTGGAGCAAGCTCGTCTAGCCACCATGGTAAAACCCGTCAACCCTTGTCTTGCTCATTAAAGAGTGTGTCGCGAATTGTTCCCCCCCCCCTCTGCCGCCGAACTGCGCCCACGTCTACATTCATGCCCGTCGCCCATTCCATTTTTTGCTTGCAAGAGGGAAAACGATGCTCAGAAAAATTCCGGATCCAAATCATACGAAAATCTACAATTTATTGCGAGACACGTTCCACGTCCGTTTTATGGGCGGAGCCGGGTCTACAAGCGTGCCTCTTTCATTGACACTACTCTTC